ATGGGAGTGCAGATATCTCTTTGATATGCTGATTTCCTTTCTTTTAACTCTATGCCCAGCAGTGGGATTGCCAGATCATATGTTAGCTCAATTTTTAGTTATTTGAAGATATTCCAAACTGTTCTCCACAGTGGTTGTACTAAATTGCATTCCCACCAACAGCATCCAAGGGTTTTGTTTTCTCTACATCCTTACCAACGTTTGTTATTGCCTGTCTTTGGAAAATAAGCTGTTTTAACTGGGGTGAGAAGATTTCTCATTGTACTTTTGAATTTTTCTGATGATTAATGATGTTGAGCACCTTTTTATATGTCTGTTTGCCATTTGTGTGTCTTCTATTGAGAAATGTCTATTTAAGTCTTTTGCCCAGTTTTTAATTGGATTGTGTTTTTTTCCTCATTAGCATCATTCTATACACAAGAAAACTGAAATACAGAGAGGTTAAGTAGTCTGCCCAAGGTCACACAGCTGGTTAGTACAGAGCCAGGACTCAATGTCCTTTTAATATCTACATAAAATCCCTGTAATATTTATAGTTTAGATTTATTTGTGCATTGGATGGGCTCTTTTGATTGTTACTTGGAGAGACTTGCTCAGGTTTCCCAAGCTAGATAAGAGAACTGCACGAGAAAACAGGAATTATGTTATGCAGCCAGGTCTCACTGAATCCCAGAAAAAGTCTCACCTGCAATGTTCAGTGAAGAGACAAGAATTGCTAAAACCATACTGCATAGGGTACTGCAACACCATTCTAAATTCAGTGCAACTCTGGCTCTCACATGATCTTATTTCCCCCTCTACAGAAGATGTTTGTTGATCTTGTTGGGGTTCAGAAAAATGATATATCAAAGTATAGAGCTTTTGCATACTGAGTACTTAGAACTAGAGAACACTGGAAGGCTTAAGTATAGTCTCAGAACCAAGGTCTCTGTGTCCTTCTCCTGCCCTCCTATCTCACACCCCTCATTCTCTCCTAAAGTGAATCGTGAAAACCAGAATTCCTCTTCCCCAAAGTGGGTCATAGAAACTAGGACCCCTTTGCCCCATAGCAAGCCATAACACCTAGCAATATTGCTCTAAACTCCCCCGCCACCCCTCCGCCTTTTTCTCTAGGAGCTGACTATGAAGAAAGTATCTGACCTACCTCTCTTTAACAATAGCTCATAAAACCCTCATTCCAGATGGGCCCTGCCCCATACCAACATGGAAGATATGATACAACCGAGAACCCAAGAAGAATCTGGACAGGCTTTGCTGAATTTCCCACTCAGTTTATTATCTTTAGGTCTTCACCTTTGGCCCAGTCACATTGCTATACAGCTCTCCATGCTTCACCAAACCTGAGCATAAAAACAGGAAGTTTTCCCTGTCTTTGAGTCTTCCTTTCTGAAGACTTCAGTGTCACACAAAATTTTGAGTAAATAAATCGGTGTGCTTTTTTTCTTGTTAACCCGTCTTTTTGACTCAGGATTTTTCTCAGTCACTTTGCCAGCTGGGAACCTCCGGCTGGTGATGCCCCTGCCTGGGCTTGCTTAGCCACTACCTGCTGCAGGAGGTGGCCTGCTCCCTCAGTCCACCCAGGCTGCATCTGGCTTGCACACTGGCTCAGCCCATAGCTGGGCCAGGCATGCCTCAGCCCACCTGTGTTATAGCTCATACACATGTTTGGTGGGTCCCAAGTTCTTATGTCCAAGAAGAATGAGGATATGCTGACAATTGAAGGGTGAGGAGGATGGAGACGAATTTTATTGAGTGATGGAGTAGTTCTCAGCAGAGAGGGGAAATGGGTGGTTCCCCACCCAAAGTCAGGTGGTTTCTCTCCCAGTGGAGAGAGTGTGGATGAGTCTAGGGTTTTTACAAGTGCAGGATGGGGATGGGTGGGATGTAGGTAGCATTGGAAAAGTTAACATTTGGCTAGTTTAAAAGCATTATTCAGAAAGAACCAACTGGGAAAGAGCAGGCAAACAGGAATAGAAGTTCTCACTCCAGGTTGTGGGTTTCAGGCTGTTTTTGGCTTGAAGGTGGGGTTTCACCGGGGACCTGCCCCTGTATGGCTAGGCATCTGTCTATCTCCTGCCGCTCTCATTTTATTATGAGTGGTGGCCATGCCCCTCATGTTGGAGAGAAAAGGTATCAATCTCTACTATTTCTGACCCTACAATGTCTACTATTGTGTTCTGGAATTAATTTTACTTCACTACTTTTTCTATTCTTCTAAATTTTTTGGTTAAGCTGTGGAAAAAGAAATTTTGATTAACTCAGGAAATTAGTGCTGCACCTGTGTAAGCAGAGCTTCATGCCAAGCCATCTTTATGAAAGATACCAGATTATTCCTAGACCAGGAGAGAGAGGGAGTAAGAAAAAGCAAAACTTCAAGTTTGGGCAACTAGGCAGATGTCATTGTTATTCAACACAATAGAAAATACAGGAGAATGAAGGGATAATGATTTCAATATTGGTTGACTTTAGTCTTAGGTACCACAAAATACATTACAAGGTATTCATTCTATTAATACTATTCATTAGCAAGAAAAACTGAGTGGTCTGCAGGTCAGGAAAACCCATTAGCGAACCATCGGTGTACTTGTCCTGTTTAAATCAGACTATCTCTTAGCCATGCCATAACTTAGTCTTATATTCTTTCTAGTTTTCATTTAAAAATTGTGTCAATTAAATATTTAAATTAAATCCCAATGCATTTTGAGTGTGAAGTTTTAATTAAAAGTCAGTACACTATGGTTTTCTCATGTAAATTTGTTGCTTGAAGGCTGCCTGGCAAATAAAAAATGGATAAAACAGAAAATGTCTTTGAGGTAAACTCAGGAAAATCACAGATGCAGTTCCACTGAGTACTGTGCATTGAAAATCCCTTCAGAGATAGGAAAAAAATAATTCCTGTCTGCACTACCGCACGTTCCCTAAACTACGCTCTTTTGAAGCAGTCATTAACAGCAGCATCCTCAGTGTATAATGTTTTATGGTATCACTGTGTGTGACAACATTAAGCATCATTAAAAAGCGTAATTAGCATAAAAATGCAACGTTACATACATCTTTGAAATACATCAGATATAGTTTGTCCTTGAAATGAAAAAGGGCATGATAATAAACTTAACTAACCTTTTAAAATACCTGAATAGAATAAGAAGGAAATCTTTAGATTGCTTTAAAAGACACAATAACTCTAAAACAAAGTGCTAAAAACAGAATATTACAGTGCTGGAGCAAGCAAAATAATGTTGTTGAGGTAAGAATTGACTTAGTAATATAGTAGGAAGTAAAGAAAAAACCAAATATATAAATGTCTCTTTGAAGAAACCATAGGGTCAAGCAGAAAAAATTTATAGCTAGCAAGCAGAAAAATAGAAAATTATAACTATCTAATCTAAATACAAAACATCCATGTAATGACATATTGTATAAACATTATCAGATATGCTTTCAAAGCGTAGTTACAAAAACAGTCACATTGTCACAGTAAAACGGAAAGATTCAAGAAACCAAAGTCTATAGAGAGAATGAGTTAAAATCATAAGATCAAATGTTTAGTCTCACTACATATCATCCAGAACTGTTAACTGAAAAACAAATAGTAATTTAAAAATATATTTAAGTGGAGTACAGTGGTTCATGCTTGTAATCTCAGCACTTTGGGAAACCAAGGCTTGAGCCCATGGGTTGAGACCAGCCTAGGCAACAATATGAGCCAGGCAACATAATGAGATCCACTCTCTACAAAAAATTGAAAAACTAGCTGGGTACACGCCTATACCCCCAGCTACTCTAGAGGCTGAGGTGCAAGTATAGCTTGAGCCCTAGAGGTTGAGGCTACAGTGAGTCTTAATCACACCACTGCACTCTAGCCTGGGTGACAGAGTGAGACCCTGTCTTAAAAAAAATTTAAAAACTATTAATAAAGATGAGTCCTTTTTTACATGGTTTCCAGAAGATTTTTTCCCTGAAATAAGGCCAATGCTGACCAGTGAAGAGTTCTACAAGAATGGTGGGTGTGAAATGCAAATTTGGGGGGAAAGATTGTCATTTATGACTCAGGAAAAGATGATAAAGTAAATGATAATGCGAACCCTCTCTTCCAGCACAGGAAAATAGAAGTTGAATTAAAAAGGGAACTCTTGTTTTGTTCAGGAATAATGTGTGCTTTAGCTTTGGGTCTAGGGTAAACTGAACTGTTGGGTATATTTTTCCTTATTATTCTTAGGTTTGATTTCAATCATATTTTCTGAAGAACCCCCATTGAAAATTATAGTTAAATGGATACACTAATTTTTAAAGAGCTTTTTATAAAATGTATCAGAAAGATGAAAACAAAAACAAGTTTTAAACATTAAAAATTGTATGTTAAACATTAAAAATGAAATGACTATGTTTCTTAGTTATTAAGATAAACCAAATAACTTATTTCTTAGTTATAGGTTGGTCATTATGAGAAATACTCCCTCAATTGGTTTAAATATTGACATGCCAGAGATGTTGATTTATGAATTCACAAGGTACTTCGAGATTGAAAAACATGATTTCCACTAGGTATGAATTTACATTCTGCTTCAGGGGAACAAGATGTGTCTTTCATGCTTCATCATTCTGTGAAGCACTGTGTTAGTCACAACTTTCGCCTGGAACCTCTATGGAGATTAGGGGAGCACACAGGAAAAGACTGACAAAGCTAAATTGAAAAGACTCAAAGTCTCGACTTAATATACAGGAACTTTTGTTTCTTCCCCAAATTTGAATTTCTAACTAGGATCATATTTTTACATAAAAACTGCTTTGAGCCACAAGGATAAAAACAATTCACATTTTAATATACATATGGGGAAAAAACCTTAAACATGCCTCCTTGTTACTTGCTAGTACTAGAAATCTTGGACTCACTGAGGAAAATTTGCGAAGATCTTTACAAAAGGATTTCTTATGTAAATCTTGATAGAGCCAGGTCATTTAGTCAATGACCAGTGGTTATGATTTCTGGGGCCACTTACTTGCTGCTGCTGAACATCGTGGTCTTCAGGGTGTATCTCTTGCAGACATTCCTCGGAGCCATTGCTAGGAAAAGTGTGGACCAAGGACCAAAGTTAGCTTTATCTGGGAGCTAGTTCAAAATACAAAATCTCAGGTGACACTCAAGATCTTGCAGATGACAATCTGCTCTTTAACAAGATCTCCAGGTGGATCATATGCACCTTAAACTGAGACGCACTCTTCTATACTAGTCAGGATCTCACAGGTGAGAGTCTCACCTTCCTTAAAGATACAGTCTCTTTGACTTTCAAGTCACAGGATTCTTTAGGTACCATCTAACCCTCTTGCTAAAATCAGTAAGTCCTAGGTTCTATCCTGTGATTTAAAACATTCTCCTTCTAAGTGGGAGTGAGCTAAGTTTCTGTCATTGAGAAGTAAGATGAATGCTGTTGAGACACCTGGAAAGAGAGACGAATGACTCTGGGTTTCACACACTTTCAGGTTACCATTACTTCTGTTGTTCAAGTATTTAAAATGTAGACATATCTTAGATCTATAGAATTACTTTCCAGATGAAGCCCTTGCTGTGCCCGAGCGAGTCAAGGAATGTGCCACACTCTGAGATTGAATTATGAGTCCTTTATTATGCCAGCGACTGAGAGGTGGCTAATGCCCAAAATTCTCTCGGCCCCTAAGAAAAATTTAGGTGGTCTTTTATACTCTAGTTTTGAAGGGGAAGGGGAAGCAAATTTTTCACAAAAGCAGAGTAAGCCAAAAAGTTAAAAGATAAACTGGTTTGAGAAATAAAACAGTGCCAGGTGTGAGGGGTAAAGTTATCATGAAAGACGTACAGCTTACAGATAACGGGGACTCTGGGCGCTCAACAGCACCTGCATTCCTAGGCTCTACTGGTGCCACTTAACTCAGCCTCTTATCAACAAATGCCTTCCTGGAGGTGCCCAGTGTCAGCCTGCCCCAGCTACATACTATACTTACATACTTAATGATGGGAAAATAACGAAAATGAAGAAGCTAGGTTGGAGTCTGTCTGGCTCAAGAAGCTAACATAAAGCCTGAACAGCTTTTAGTCTGAGAAAGAGAGAGTTAGTTTTAGCTGGCAAAAAAGGGGTTATCACATCCTCAGTTGGCACACATGAAGTATGATATTCCTATTTCACGTCTAACATAATTTAGATGTTATTTTACTAAGAATCCCCTACTAGGCTCTACTCCAAAATATACATTTTGGAAGGATCATTTATTTACATGATGAGTTTCTTCTAATGTTTCCTTTTCTTAAAGGAAGTTTCTCCCAGTTTCATCACAATAAAATGTGTGGAAAGGCCTTTACAATAAAATAATGTGTTACTATATAAACAAACTGAGTTTTAATGACAGTGTTGTCAGAGGCATTTGAACCAACTTCTTGAATAGCAGTTGGGTAATTACCAAGCTGCATTCCCAGAAGGTTAAGGCATTCTTAGTCACAAGAAGAGGCAGAAGGTCCACACAAGGTACAGGTAACAAAGACCTTGCTGATAAACAGTTTGTGGTAAAGAAGTCAACCAAAACCCACAAAGATGGTGACAAAAGTGGCCTCTGGTTTTCCTCACTGTTCATTATATGCTCATTATAATGCATTGGTGTGCTAAAAGACACTTCTGTCAGTGCCATGACAGTTTACAAATTCCATGGCAACTTCATGGAAGTTACCCTTTATGGTCTAAAAATGGGAGGAACTTTCAGTTCCCCAGAAATTGCCCACCCCTTTTCTAGAAAACTCATGAATTATCCACACCTTATTGCATATAACCAAGAAATAACCATAAAAATGGTCAACCAGCAGCTCAGGTTGCTGCTCTGCATATGGAGTAGCCATTCTTCATTCTTTTACTTTCCTAATAAACTTGCTTTCACTTTTGTTACTGGAAAGAGGTCTCAATCTAGACCCCAAGAGATGGTTCTTGGACTTCTTACAAGAAAGAATTTGAGGCAAATCCATAAAGAGAGATTTTAAGAAAGTAAAGGAATACAAGAGTTGCTACTCCATAGGCAGAGCAGCAGCATGGGCTGCTCTCAGGCTATTTTTTGGTTTTTTTCTTGATTATTTGGTAAACAAGGGGTGGATTATTCATGAGTTTTCCAGGAAAGGGGTTGGCAATTCCTGGAACTGAGGGTTCCCCCATTTTTTAGACCATAGAGGGTAACTTCCTGAAGTTATGCCATGGCATTTGTAAACTGTCATGGTGCTGATGGGAGTGTGTTTTAGCAGGGTAATCCATTATAATGAATGTATAATGAGCAGTGAGAACGACCAGAGGTCACTTTTGTCACCATCTTGGTTTTGGTGGGGTTTTGCCAGCTTCTTTACCAATCCTTTTATCATCAAGTTCTTTCTGACTTGTATCTTGTGCCAACCTCCTGTCTCGCTCATGCTGCGACTTAGAATGCCTAACCTCCTGGGAATGCAGCCCAGTAGGTCTCAGACTTATCTTGCTCATTCCCTATTCAAGATGAAGTTGTTCTGGTTTGGACACTTCTGACAGATCTGCCTCAAATTCTTTCTTGTGTGAAATCCAAGAACCCTCTCTTGTGTCTGGATTGGGCCCCTTTTCTGATAACAGTGCGTGCCACGAGGAATGCCTCAAAGAAGAACACTGCACTGATAATTTCTAAACAGCAGCTTATTAGGGGAAGTGAAGGCAAATTGTATTGCTTATACATTGACTCTGGAGTTCTTAGGGCAAGATATCAGAAGCAGGATGCATCTTTGGATTGCTGGAGTTCTTAAAAGGAGGATGGTTGGAAGTGAGATCAGATTGTGAGTGAAGAGAAAAAGTGTTGAGAGTCATCATACATTGTGAGGTTGTAATCACAATGCTGATGATGATGGTTCTTCCATTTTTCAGGATGATGGAGGAGAAAGGCAAATTAAACTGGAATGTTATACTTTTCCAAAACTAAAATCTCCATTTTTGTAATTATTCACTGCATGAAATATACTTTAACAAAACTTCAAATATGCAAGAGGAAATAACCGATTAAATATCATCTTGCCTTTAACAGCTAAAAGCTATGTGAAATCAATTCTATCTCTATGTTTCTGTATACACATTATTTTATAAAACTGATTTAGTTCAAGAAAGGAAGATAGTTATCTAAAGTGATCAGTTACTGGGTGTCAAAACTGAGATATAAAGTTTGTATTGACTGTTCTAAATTCACTTATTCATTCTTTCCTTCTTATGACTACTAGTTGCATAGTTATAAGTTAGCACCCAGAATGCCCAGCTCCAAGGTTATGCTGGTGTGCAGCAAAAGTAGACGCAGTCAGTATCTTCTGTAACGTAATTTACATATAATGAAATATATAATCTTAAGAGTAACGTCATCCTAGAAAGTTCTCTGATGCCTCTTTCTAATCAATATCCACCCCATCCTTTGTGAGTTAAAGAACATTGTGATTTTCCTTCTGCTATAATTTAGTTTTGCCTATTCTAGAACTTCACATTAGTAGAATCATTAATGTATTCTTTATACACCTAGAATTATTTGTGGCTTTTGTGTGAATCTGAGTATAATGTTTTTGAGGTTCATTCATGCTGTATATTAATCATTTATTGCTGTGTAATGTTCAATTGTAGATATAGCAAAATTTGTTTATTCATTCTAATAGACACTTGGTCTGTGTGCAGTTTTTTGCTATGATGAAAAAAATTCCATGAACATTCCTGTGCAAAGCTTTTTGTAGGACTGGCATGATGGCTTGCATTAGAAATTCCGGCTACACGGGAGGTTAAGATGAGAAGATTGCTTGAAGCCAGGAGCTCCAGGCTGCAGTGAGCTATGATCACACTACTGCACTCCAACCTAGACAACAGACTGAGACCCCCTATGTAAAAGAAAAAAAATACCTTTTTATAAATATAAGTTTTCATTCTTGGGGTATAAGGCGTATATAAATTAATTTTATACCAAAATAAAAGCCAGATCATTTTTTAAAGAAATCGTGCCATTTAACTCTCCCACCAATGATGTGTGTTTGTATTGTCCTACAACCTCATCAGCATATAATATTGTCATTTTTTATAAAATTTTAGCACTTATTGGGGGTTCCATCCACAGGTAATTTAAAGAAAAACTTTCCAAATTTATTTTCTCATCTCCAATTTAACATTCCCATTTATTATATACTCCCATTATATTTCTAACTTTTTTCAAACATTCTTGTAATAAGCTTGGAAATATCATCCTGTATTAATATCTGGGTAAAATGTACCTTCTTATTTGCATAAAAATGATTCAGACTTTGTAAATTAGGGAAAATAACCTTCTGTTATTTGAGGTTTGACTTGGTGAATCCAGGTTTCTTTCATCGTCTTGGAAAGGAAGTTAGGAATCTTCCTCATAACACGAATCCTTTCTAAAGCAACACTTGACAAATGACCATCTGTATTCTGCTTGGCCACTACCAGTAATGAGTGTTCTGCTTTACATGACATCCCAATCCATGTTTTAATATTTATAGTTGTTGCTGAATAACTCCAATTTGATCTCAGGTTTTTTATAGAATATATATGATTATGACAATGTGATATATCATTCATTTATTAATACATGTGTACTTATTTATAACAAAGATTGTCACATATTCCAGACAGTTTCTGGGCAAGGTAATCAAGATCCAGTAGTGAATAGCAATGTCCCTACCTTCATGAATTTTTTGTCTAGAAATCAATCATTTTCTAGCATTGTTACTTACCTGGTCTTCCCTAATCTCTTTTTCAAAATATAAATTAGCACTTATAGGTAAAAACTCTACTCATTATGGAGATGTATTTATAGCAACACCAGAAAGGTATTTGTTTTAAAAGATGGGGTCTGCAGCCTCAAACTCCTGGCCTCAAGTCTCTCACCCAGTTTCCTATAATTATCTGAGATAAGTATTATTTTCTAGTATTTTTTTATTTAATATTTCTATTAAATATTAAGTTAAAATCTCCTAAAATGTCAATGCTTTGTTAATAAATTGTGCTATTATCTAATAGAAAGAATATTAAAATGCATTTATATGACTCATCCTG